CATTATTCCTCAGACCCTGATGACACCGGTCCTTGTCTTTGTCATCACCCTAACCCTTGTCAGTTTGTAGAAGCATCTCCAACTAAAGGTGCATTAGCATCAACATGGGTGCAATTAGAAAACATCATCGTGATTGAAATAATCCAGACACAGAAAGATAAAAGTGCATATTCTCCCTTGTATGTCGGAGCTAAAATTAAAAAAAAAAGACAAAAAAATCCAAGAAGCAAAAGCAATGAAAAACATGCCTATATGTATCAATATTATTGCAAACACAGCCTTGTCATACTTTGTTTTATGCCTTTGTCAAGCCAGTGATTAAGAATGTTATACTCCTATGGTTTTGATAATGTGATTACTTTAAAATCTACTTTAAAACATTGTGGATGAAATAGTCATTTTTCTACTCATTTGTTGCTTATAGCTACTTCCTATATTCCACTGAAGTAGAATCTTTCTTTTACTTGCTAAACTTTTTTTTTTTAAGGATTTATACGTATCCCCTCTGCTGGTTCACTCCTTATGGTGGCCAGAGTTGAATCACCCCAAAGCCAGGAGCTGGAAACTTCTTTTGTGTTCTCCACATGGATGCAGGAATCCAAGAAGCTGAATGATCCACTGTTGCTTTCCCAGATCACAGCAGGGAGGGAGCTGGATCAAAAGTGGAGCAGCCAGGACATGCAGGGCGCTGGTGCCACAGGGCGGAGGATTCCTGTGTTATAACACTCTGCCAGCCCCTCAACATCTTATTTGGTGAAATATTAAGCCTTATTACTGTAGTGTAAATCTAAACTATGTTATCTCAAAAACAAAAAAAAAAAAGAAAAGAAAAAGGGAGAGGAAGAAAATGAGAAACAAAGAAAGAGGGATGAAGGGACAGAGAAGTGAATACTGTATTTCTAGAATTGCATCTACAAATTATATTGAATCTGTAAACAACTAGTTAAAATTTAAAATAAAATAATTTAAATTTTAAAAATACTTTAAAAATAAAGGCGCATTGGTAGCACTTAGTTTCCAATTTTCTTATTCCTATGGAACTAAAATAAGTAAACCAAACTGGTCTAATTGAGATTATTAGTGTGGAAGAAATTTCCAATTCAAAAACTCCTAGAGCTTAAACTTGCCTTCAACAGGGCTCTGTAAGAACAACTCCCTTGAAGAAATATATATGTAAATTTGAAAAGCAGAAGAATGGTCTGGAAAATGGAGGAACACAGCAAAATCTTCCATTCACTGGTTTAATTCTCAAATGCCTTCAGCAACCATGGATAGGCCAGCTCATAGCCAGGAAGGAGCTCCACCTGAATCTGTTGAGTGGCAGGTATCCGAGTTCTTGGGCCATCATCTTCTGCCTCCGAGATGCATTTGCAGGGAGCTGGGTTGGAAGCATGCAGCAGCTGGAACTCAAGTTGGCACTCTGATATGCATACAGACATCCCAGGAGGCTTCTTGAATTCACTATGCCACAATACTCACCCTGAAAAAGTGTTTTCAGGCCTGGGAAGAATGTTGCCATTCCTCTAAGTGTCTGGTCCCTCTTTCCAGGTTTGTCTAGCAGGTGGGCATCAAAGATGGGTAACAGCAAACATTACCACTTGGGTTAAAACAAGGTCCAAAACGGTTCACTCCTGGCTTGGGCCACTGCCTCAGGCTGAGAGCATTGAGTGGACATGACAGGGATAGTGGCTATGTCTTGACCCTTGCTAATTCCCACAAGTGGCTGATGAAAACTCCCTTGGCCCCCTACATCCTATCACATGGAGTGGCCAGAGCTGAACTGACATCAAAGTTGAACTGAATGGCAGCGTTGAGAGATTAGAGGCAGACCTGGGGACTTGTGTCACACATCACACGACCTGACCTGGCTGTTGTCAATTCCCTGCTGTCGCTCTGGACAGAAGGGATCATCGCAATCACTCGTGTGACCATCAACACATGGAGATACACCAGGCGAGCAAATGCAGTGTACTTTCCTGGGATGCAAGCATTGGTCAGGAAAATGGAAAAAAAGAAAGGGTACATGAGTAGCACAGCAAACACCACTCACCAAAGAGCAGAGAGGCTACAGCTCTGCGATCCCTGAACTGGAAACTAATTTTTCAACAAGCAAGGTGATGTCTTACATTTCAGGCCTTTTAAAACTTCACCATTCAATTAGCACCTGCTTTTATTAGACTCCTTGAATCTCTGCCTCACTAGAAAAGATGTCAGTAAGTGAATTCTCTGTCATTGACAATTCAGAGGAGTGAACCATCAGCAGCTGCTGATCCAACACGCCAATCAGACAGCAAGGACCAGATCCTTGAACCAGCTATCACATGGGTCAAGCGCCCTCATATCTGATCTAGAGAAGGGCTTCTGTTTGATCAGAACTGTTCGAGTGAAAAAACGGGTTCCACGCTGAAAAAAGACCTTGTCTTTGTCCCATGCGTGATGCGAGATGGATCTTAGTAACCAAGGCCATCTGCCAGCATCATAAAAGGGGACCTCTCCTGTGCTAGAGTGGCTCCGTGACAAAACTCTAATGTCTGCTGATGAGACTAATGACCTCATGCACTCTCTTCCATTGTAGGTTCCAGAACAAAAGGAGCTTCATATCAAAGAAACAGAATAGCAAAAAATTTCTACACCAGAGTCACCACATTCTATGGGGCCAGGCAGGAGCTTTGTTTGGGACTACTTACTAAAACCAAAGTGAGGACTCCTATCATCCATGCCTACGGGGCATGCTAAAAAGAATGCTAGAACTTGGGGCCAGCACAGTAATCTAGTGGCTAAAGTTCCAGCCTTGCACTCACCAGGATCCCATTTGGGCACTGGTTCTAATTCTGGTGGCCCCGCTTCCCATCCAGCTCCCTGCTTGTATCCTGGGAAAGTAGCTGAGGACGGCCCAAAGCCTTGGGACCCTGTACCCGTGTGGGAGACCCAGAAGAAGCTCCTGGCTCCTGATCGACTCAGCTCCAACTGTTATGGCCACTTGGGAAGTGAATCAGAAGATGGAAGATCTTTCTGTCTCTCTTCCTCCCTGTATATCTGCTTTTCCAATAAAAATAAATAAATCATTTTTAAAAATGCCAGAACTCAAAGACCCTCCCATTACCACATGGGTTGTGCAGGTGGGTTCCGGCACCAGCAAGTACAAACAGGACTTCTGCATAGCATAGAACTTGCTCATGTATAACCTCTGATTTATGATTTCTGCTCCCATTTTACCCAAAACAGAAATCACAATCTTTCTTTTTTAGGCTAACATGATTCCATTATACCAGAAAGTATTGCCCATCTTTTTTTTTTTTTTTAAGATTTACTTACTTTTATCGGAAAGTCAGATTCCCAGAGAGGAGAGACAAAAAGAAAGATCTATCCACTGACTCACTCCCCAAGTGTCTGTAACAGCCAGGACCAAGCAGATCCAAAGCCAGGAGCCAGGAGCCTCTTCTAGTCTTTCACCCAGGTGCAGGGTCCCAAGGCTTTGGGCCAACTGCCACTGCTTTCCCAGGCCACAAGCTGGAAGGGGAGTGGAGCAGTGATGATTAGAACCAACACCCATATGGGATCCTGGCGCAAGCAAGGTGAGGACATTAGCCACTAGGCTACCACGCTGGGCCCTCTGCCCATGTTCTATATGGCTTTGGTCCACTGCTCAGCACCCAAGCTGCGGCAGTGAGACATTTTTCCTCCCACCACTTGCTAACAGCCTGTTCAACTTGCAGATTTTTACCATGACTCTCTTTTATTTTTATTTCTTCCTTCTGTCCCATCCTCCTGTTTCCTTCTGTCTCCGATCCCCAGTTTGGAGAAGGTGTTCCCAGTGATACCACGCACATAGCCCTCCAAGGCTGGCTGCCTAGCAATTAACCTTCTAACCCCAGTTCTTGGTTGGAGAAACACAGGCCGAAGATTTCATTCAAGTTTATTCTGTGCCTTTTACCCTAGCCAGCATTTAATCAGATACTTGGAGTGATAACAGCAACTTGGCCCAGAAGGAGAGTTCTCAAACCAAATTCCTTGACTGAAGGCAGAAATCTGTTCTCTCTGTACTGCTTATCCAGGGGAAGGAGAGCTCGGATGTGGCCTCAGGTTGGCTCAGGAGTTGTAGTCTTGACTAAGGTCATAGCTGAAACAAAAAACAACAACAAAAAATCAGGACCTCAGGCCTGATTTTTCCCAGAGCCTCCCAGTGAGAAGCAGAGGCCTGCCTGGGGTTCCGAGCTGTCCTTGTGGCCACCTTGCTCCGTCACCACCAGGCCACACAGTCCGTGCTTAACAGGTGTACTCAGTAAGTCTCAAGTTTCCAACCTGGAGAAGCCGATTTTCCAAAAACAGAGCTCTCTTTGTGAACAATGCAGCGAAAACCTTCCTTCCAGCTGTGTGCAGGGCTTCATATTGCAAACGCTGGTGTTAATTAAAAACATCCAGCTTCTGCAGCTTCAACAAGGAAGAGCACCATGCAGCACGCATGCCCGAGCCCTCCCTTGCGAAGCACTTACCAATATGACCTTATTTACAACATGACGCACTGGGGGCTCCGACCCATGTCATCATTCCCAGCTGTCAGCCTCAGCCAGAGCTGGCACCCAGAAGACAGCCGTGTGGAGCCCAAACTGTCATGCAGAAACGTGGATCCTGCCGTTTGTCCAGAGTGTCTACCTAAGTTCATGCCAGGGACTGTTCATAACTGAGATCAAATGTGTATCTGTTGAGTCACTAAAACCTTCCTCGAGTGGTTCTTAGTCTGAACAAACGAGATATGACAAGGCCTGGGACATGCCACGTAGCATGACACGATGCATTTAATAAGTGGGAGACTCAGGGACTTCCTTTATATTCCCACTGTAGTTTTCTTTCTGTTGGGAAGCCTTTACCTAAAATGGTCCTGAGCTGATGAGGTGAGAAAAAGGAAACTGCACTTCCCCGTGAGCCTGTCTCCGGATGGCCAATCTGTCCTGCTTTTAACCCACGATCGCACAGGAAAGAATCAAGCCAAAGCCACATCATTAAGAATGAATCTCTTTGTTTTAATTTCACACAGTTTAAAATACAATATGAAATCAGGCTACAGTATATAAAAAACTCTCCAGCAAAATGATGTGCCAGCATCAGCTACGAAAATAAACAGACAAAAAAATTCCCCCATAAGAAAAAATTTTTTTGCATTTAAAAAAAACCACAGACACTTATATCGCTACATCTCCAAGTTACCTCAGTTCTGATTTTTTTTTTAAAAAAAAGCACCTGCTTTTCCTTTTTTCATCTTGTTTGTAAATTTTCAGCTTTTAAAAAATATAAATTATATGAAAATACAAGTTGGAAAATAGTCAAACACAATATAACATCTTTTCACCCCTATACTTCTCAGCTTAAAAAAAAAAGGTATTCTTAAAAAAAAGTTCAATAACTGAGGCAGTATTTCTGATAGAGATAATTTCATTTTAATATATATATTTTATATATGTATATGTATACATATATTTATGGTTCCTTGACATTTCTTTGGAATGTAGGTAAGAGTTCAACAAATTTATATAGACCCCAAGAGAGACAATAGCACGCACAGCATGACTAGAAAGAGAGGGTGTATTGTTCACCATGAAGGTTAGGCAGCTTAATGCTCCAAAACCCAGAGTGTTCATCTCCAGAGTGAGGAAAAGCATATCTGAACTTCAAATGCTACGTCCAGGCCCCACTGCCAAAAGGTCACGTATGGCTTCCTGCAGGGAAGTCCCTCCCCTGAGTGGACCTTGAACCCTAACACCGAAACCCACACAGGTTAGGGCATCTTTGGGAAAATAGGGCTTTCACCCAGCTGGACCAGATTTGCCCATCCTTCCTCTGAAGTTAACATGTGTTTTTAAAAAAGCATAAATGCAACAATTCTGCTACATTTCCAGTGTATAAACCACCCACCACTCTTCCTGGGATGGTCTCTGGCCTTTAGACAAAAGGACAACAAGCATGTTGGCCAGATGGACAAAAGCTGTCTTCACTATCTACAGATCCTGAAAACAGTGCACCGAGAGAGGGAGAGATGGGACGTCAGCCCACAGGCGGGCTGAGAGCACGACAAGGCACTTGCTTCACCTTGTCCGCAACAGCAACTGAGGAGTCGGACAGACTCACGGGAGGGGAGTTCTCAGCTAAATGTAATCGGAAAGGCTGCTGATTCAAGAAAGCGACTTTATGCCTGACTGTGTAAGCAGTGATCAATGACGAGCTATCCAGCCTTGTTCTACTCTCACTCATGACTGAAATGTGGAAAGATTTCCCTAAAAAACCCAGATATTATTTCAGCTGCAGTTTTATACATCTGTGCACACGCGCGCGCACACACACACACACACACACATACACGCGCACACGACACACACGCTTTGCCAGTGCCCAATAAAAAGATCACATAATCTAAGAGGAAAGAATATTGGTCCAAATAGCTCCACCTAACACTCCCTGAGCAGCTCCAGAAGTATTTTGAGAGCTTCATTAAGGCACCTGCATCTGGCAGATTAAGATTACACAGCTGAGATAGTTCTGCCTTTGCTTTTTCCCATGGGGATGCTACGATCTGTGAGTCTGAGGACACTGGGAATCACGCAGTAACATTCCTAGCAACTCAGGGTCTGCAAGAAAATCTGGGAATCAACAGCTTACTTAAGATGTACTTGAAAGTGACTGCTACTTCCTTTGCTCCACTGAGTCCCAGACGGGGCCAGCCCTGAGAAGTTCTCCTCAATGTTTCTCCCCCTTTCCAGAGGAAACTGAAGGCCCAACCCCTCCATTTAACTAAGCATCTTTAGCGTGGGAGGAATTCTAATTGTATTAGGCACTTTTTTTTTCCCACTGGTCATTTGGCTGTTGGTTTTTGTTCTAAAATCCCCCTTTTTAGATGCTTTTACAGCCACTAGAAAGAAGACCACCTAGGTCAGTTATGTCTGCATGTAAACTGTAAAGAAACAACAAGCACACTCAAATCTCATGATCACTTGAACCTCTTCCCTTTGTTTCCTTTGCCTTCAAGTCATTCCTCACTCCCACAACTAACCTTCATTTGCCCTGAACCAGGATATCACATCCAAGCATGAGGAGGCCCTGACAACCTAAACCTGCTTTGCACATAGTCTCCCGACACTCTTCCCAACTGGCTTTCAAGAAAAGCCTGCACTTCTCTTCCCAAAGACAGCCAAGCTAACACTTTATTGGAATGCTCTTTTCTTGTCTAACGTTTCTAAAAGAAAGTACAAACACTTCAACTCAAGCTATTCCTGCACTTGTGCATCAGAAAGCTGGACGATTTGCTCTACTGAATAATAGAGCTGGAGGGGAGGGAGGGACAGCCACCGTGGGATGCTGGGACAGTAAGACTGTAAATTGTTAGTTAGGCTTAGGGATGCTGTGTATTCAGGACATATTTCTTGACACCTGAGGGGTAATGCCCATGCATACAGCTTTTATTCCAAGTCTTCTATGTTACAGGTACAGAACAAATCAAGACACAAGTCACTCTTACTCCTTGAGTTTCCTTCTCATGACTTCAACAGTGTTCCTAAGTTGACCAAGGCCCCAAACCAGAGCTCACAAAATACATTCAGTTCCAAGGCTCAATGTTTCTGAATCCAACATTAAGTCCAAACCCCAAGAACCCACTAAGGACAAGGAAGTAAAGGGGTGTGATGATAAATTTTTTTGAAATTGCAGATGAAATTCACATGCATAGTTCCCTTGTTCCCAAATCAGCACTCATGTTTCCTTCATATGGAAGTCACATGAATCTGGAAGCCCTGAACTCAGTCGCAGAGCCTTGCTTTTCCAATGGGGTCTATATAAACAGTTTTCTTTCACTGTGACAGAATCCTCAGCCTGCAAATCATAAAAAAACAAACTTGCATGGTACTGCAATACTGAGACCACCTTAGAGCTTAAGACGATTTTTAAGGAAAAAAAAATACTGGCACAAAATTTAATAAAATAAATTTTAACACAAAAACACTTTTGGTCCCTCCCCCATGGAAGTCCCTCTTTGTTTTAAAAGAAGAGTGAAAATGGTCAAAAGATCTCAATTTTTAGTGCATCCCCCATAAAAAAACTTTTTTGCCACCCCACCCCCTTTTTTGCCACCCCAAATTTAAACACAAAAGAGAATGAACTGCTTTGCATCCATCTTATGACTCTGATGTGACAATTTCTCTGGCTAATGGGTTCCTAAATCAAGACAAGTTTTTTTCATGGATGATTGAAGAAACTTGCTGGATACTCCAGTCTTCTTCCCTTAAGCCAGCTCCTTTTAAAGAAGACCCTTCTCTGTCTCCTGAAATTTGCCCAAGAACTTCTTGCCCCACCCACCCCACGTGTACTGGCTTTCCTTCTCCAACCACACACAATTGATTACAGCTGCAGCTCCCTTAGCTCCCACCCCTGAATGTAAAAAAAATGAGTTTTGGAAAATAAAACATAGAATAACAATTCAAAATTCAGAGTCCAACCAACGCGGGTGTTCTTTGCAAGGTCTCAGCGGGGCTGGCCCCGCCCCTTCCATGTCCATCACTCATCGGCATCTGGCTTGACATCCAGCATGGCATGGAGCTCCTCGGGGGTGTACCCCAGCAGGCTCTGCAGGTCACAGACAAAGCGGTACACATAGCGTTTACCAGCCGTCTTGTGGATGATGTTTTTGTCATAATAGTAGCGTAGGCCACGGCTCAGTTTCTCATAATTCATCTTCGGCTTGTTTTTCCTCTTTCCCCATCTCCTGGCCACCTGCAATGTTGAAAACAAGATGAGCAGGTAGAAATCTATAGGAGCCATCAAATCTACATGTTTGACATGCCTAAACTGTTCATGGAGACCCATGGTGTCCACAGAAGACAAGTACAGATTCACGTGCACACATGGGATATACTGCTCTGAGCGATCTCTTCTGAATTCCATGTTTTCAAATATTAGGCAGGAATGGAAGTCAAATTGACTCTCTGAGGTGGCTGAAAACACAGTGATCCTGAGCTCGCAGGTAACAAGTTTAAAATATTTGGTTTTGGAAAAAAGAAAAGCTACCCTAAAAACCTTAACTCACATGATTAGGACAATGTGTTTGCTTGAAAGCAGATCTCACAAGAGTGTGCAGTGGAAGAGCTGGGCGGCCATCACACCTACCTTTCGTCAACAGGAAGCCCTTTCTCTGTACCAGGGCATAAATATTTTCTCATGTCTGCCAGAAAAGAGATCTTGTCTCTTTTGCTCATTTGTTGTTTATGTTCAGAATCGGGCCTGGCACATATGAAGTATCAACAAATGCTTGAAAGAATGAATGAGTGAACAGACCATACTCCTCTTTCAGAGACTCTAGAAGCACCTGGGCCCTTTGCACATTCACGGGGTCACGGGAATAGGAAGAGCACCAAGTCAGAAAAGGCATTTATGCTGACAAAGGGCCTGCTACGCTCCGGGCACTGCAGGATCAGCCTCCTAAATCATACTGGAATACTACGGAGCAGCCCAGGTGTTTTCCCTGTGTTCAAATTTGAAAAAGCAAGGCTTGATCGGGCTGCATAACTTGCTCAAATTTATACAATCAACAAATGGGACTGCTGCCCATATCCTTCCCCCATTCCTGGGTTTTCTCTCAACCTTCTCAACACAAGGCTTTCAAGTCGTTTCTTTCTTACCTCATCTGGGTCAGAAAGCTTGAATTCCCAGCCATCTCCTGTCCAGCTGATAAAGGACTGACAGGACTTATCAGTGAGTAACTCCAGAAGAAACTGCCACAGCTGGATCGGTCCACTGCCTGAAAACACAAGCCACAAGGATCACCACATCACACTCAGTGCTCATGGCAGCGAGTTCCACTACATAGCGTCCTGGCTGCTCCTCTCACACTTCCTCCAACCAGGAGAAGAAGAAAGATACTGGGAGGGTGGTGAGTATAAGGGTCCTCTCCAAGGAAAAGTCAGGGCTCTTCTCACAACCAGACACTGGACATCCTTTCAATCATAATACTCATCTCCACTGCAACCACACCGAACCCAACCATATCCAGAACAGCACCCAAACTTAGACAGGAAAGCACGGAGGGTATCAGAGGAATTAACCTAAAACCCAGGAAAGTCTCAGAGATCACATGAAGACTGCCTCAGATACCCTGCATGGCTTCAACATATTCTAAACACACACACACACACACACACACACACACACACAATTTTTTCTCTTTGTTTACCATCAACATTTTCAAGATCTTAGCTTTGGAAGGCCTGGTACACTCTGGCAGTTCATTTCTCCTCTGTTCAAGGATGCATGCCACATTGTTTTATTGGAGGAAAACCTCCTATGTTAAAAAGACAACCCTATCTGCAATTCTTTATCTAATTTGGGGGCATATCTGCAAATATGTGAATACAACAGACTGTACTATCCAAGCAAATGCCTACAAAATCATTTGACATTCTAAGAGACAGTCCCAGAGGGCTACACTGGTAACTTCTTAACTTCTTTGGGTCTACCCTTGGTTAAAAACTAGTCTACAACTCATGTGCATTGGGGGTTGATTGGAGTCACCAATTATGACTCTGCCTGAGCCAGCTCAACTGGCTACGCCTCTGCATACAAGCTTCGGCAGCTCATTTGGGCATGAATTTAGATCCCAGCTGTTCCACTTTCAATTCTGTTCTCTGCTTTGGCTTGGGAAAGCAGCAGAGAATGGCTCAAGTCCTTAGAACACTGCACCCACGGGGAGACCTGAAGAAACTCCTGGCTCCTGGCATCAGATTGGCTCAGCTCTGGCCACAGCAGCCATTTTGGGAGTAAATTAGCAGATAGAAGATCTTTCTCTCTGTTTCTCTGCTCTGTAAATCTTCCTTTCTAATAAAAATAAATAGATCTGGACGGCAGGAAGGAAGGAGGGGGACAGAAAGAGAGGAAAAAGAAAAGAAGAAAGGAAGAAAGGAAGGAAAGGAAGAAAGGAGGAAGGAAGAGAAGAAGGGAAAAAGGAAGGAAGGAAGGAAGGAAGGAAGGAAGGAAGGAAGGAAGGAAGGAAGGAAGGAAGGAAGGAAGGAAAGAGAGAGAGAAAGAAACAAAGAAATGTGGCTGCCAAAAGCCCACTGATTACCAGGCTTCCTCAAGTTCAGGAAGAAGCCCTCAGACAACTAACAGAAAACCAACTATCATAAGGCCATGTAACCAAGGCCTCTTCAGGGTTAAGACTTTAAATCTAGGACTTTAAAAAGCTGCTTTAAGGTTCCTGACAGAGGTATGCTTTAACTATTTACCTACTAAATGACTTATGGATGACCGTTATTCCATTTGCCTCTATCACTTCACAGCAGTGAAAATGGACAAAATGTGGGCCTCCCACGTGTACCAGGCTAGTTAGATCAGATGTTGAAAGCTGAACTTGGAACACAAGCAGTCTGACCCACATCTCTATATTGTACTACCATGGACAAGAAGGCCTGGCTTTTTAGCTGCCAGCCTGCTGAAAGTGACCCCAAGGATCAAAGGCTTTAAAACCTTCTTCTTCTTTGCCTCTCAGGGTGGTCACAGGACACTGGGTGGTCAGGGACTCTCCTGACTACCCAGTGCCTCCTGGCTGGGACACCTCCCAAGGGACGTCCACATCACAGTGGTGCCCCCAGCTCCATAAGGCCCTAAGGAACAGGTAATTTTGTGGAAGCTGCTAAGTTATGTGACATCATTTCTGCTCCCTCACACTGTTAACCTTACAACATCTTTCACACTTCCTTAAAATATACTGGTGAGGGGGTCAGGGTGGGGGCAGGGTGGAGAAGAGGCAAATTATGCCAAGCTGAGGGCAAGGGATGGAAATATGGAAATATGCAGAGCCTTCTCCAACCATAAATCCCAGCCGGAGGCAGGCAGCAGCCATCACATCTGCACGGCCCGGAGGGGAAGGCCCAGGTGCCAGTTACCCCGGCCTCCTGCCCTGGCGACTCAACCCCACAAAGCAGAGAAAGGATTTAGTCCTTCTCACTGGTGCCAATGCACAGCAGATGAAGATGCAGCTGAATTAGCTACTGTGGGTTTGTTCTGCCAATGCTATTTCCCAAACTGAAATGTCAAGCAATCACAGATCTCAGATGCCCTGCTCCAGGTTATTCTGTGTGTATCTGACCTCTGCTGTCTGTGTACGTGACCATGGGACACGGTGAGTCCTAGTCCTGGCTGGGACATCTATTCCTTCGTTGGGAGTTTCCATATGTTCAAAAGGATCATTAAAAAAATGTTCAATTCTGGGACTGGGATCCTGAGTCCTGGGTACCACACTATAGAACTCTTTCTAGTCACATGAAAGGAAGGAGAGGAAAAAAAAAAAACAGAAAAGCAGATGCCTGAGAACAGCACAGAAACTCCAATGGGAAGCACCACTTCTGACTAGCCTCAGCTGTGCTGTGGGGATGGCTGGAGTGTGCCCCTATGAGTGCTTTGTGTTGGAAGGTAACCCAGTGTGGCAGTGTCAAAAGCTGGGGCTCAACGGTGTCTTCAGCAGCACTGCCCTTAGAAGGGAATAAGGTGTTTTCCTAGTGGGTTCCCTGGCTTAGTGGTAGAAGGAAAACTCTGGCTGTCCCTCTCACACGGGATCCCTCCCTGGCACAAAGACTCCCACCATGCCATTCGCTATGTGACGTGGCCAGGCAGGCCCTACTGAAGCCTGCTCCACATGCAAGCTAAGTAAACCTCTTTCCTCTATGAACTACCCAGCCTCAGGTGTTTCACTGCAGTAGTGAAAAACAACTAACTCAAGAAAGGCAACACAATGTGATGTCAACTCTTATCTTTCTCCCCAGGTTCTTGCAGATCATCCCTGTAGGCTCATTCCCAGCTAACAGCACAGTTGGTGCCCTGTGCTTCAGAAAGCCCGGAGTGCTGGACCAAAGAGAGGGTCCCACAAGTGCCCTCATGTTGTGGGGAGCATGATAAAGAGGACAGGCATGGGTTGTTCTCCAGTCAAGAATGCTGGGCACGAGCATCCACTCTGGGTGGAACTGTTCCTTGGCTGGACCAGTGGATGGTCTCCCCAGAAGAGCCTATTTCCACAGTGAGTCTCCGAGAGGAAACCAGGGGCCTTGCAGGCTACTCTGAGATCGAAATGCAGGCTGGCCCTGCACAACTGGCAGTCACATCCAAGGCCAGACCCATCGGAAGTTTTTATGCCCCAGATTCATCCTAACAATGCCTCAGGATTATGCTGCTGGTTATAGTTTTCTGTACTTCTTAGCCCATGTCTGTCCAAATCCAAGGGGTTACAGACCTTTTCTCTTGGCCTTGCCCCAGCAGAACCTACAATTGTAAAGCCCCTCTTCTCTCTTCTCCCTTGCACCTCCCATCTGGCCCCTGGGCCCAGACCCATCCAGCAACCCAAATGGACAGTGGTCCCGCCTGACCTCTGTCTCCAGGGGCACAAGCCATTACTAAGAATAGCGTCAGTCATGGGAAAGGGGAGCTCACATGTTAAATGTGACTCACAATGGTGTGCCTGTCTGGGGGCTGCACAGCACTCAAGAGCGCCCTTCACCATGCTGCCCGGCAGTGTCACGCATCAGGAATCCAGTGCATCACTGGGAAACTATGCCTCTCAAGTGGAGGCTCCAAGCACAGCAACAGAGGGGCCCCTGTTAAGAGGTCTGCGGGAGGGAAGATGGTGTGCTCACGCGTGCGCACACACGCACCGCCTGTGCCTCCACAACCCTCCCTCACCCGCTGCAGGGAATTCCTTCCATGCTGGGTTCTTCTGGGTTTCTGACTGACAGGTGGGTTCTCACCCCAACACCGCCCACCCGAATGTGAGCTCGAGACAGCCCCAAGACATGACTTCACAGGAGGGCACCTGGAGGAGCCCCAGGCCAGCAAAGGCCCAGGGGACCTTACAGGCACCCCCAAATATAAGGCAACAGCAAAGTATTTTTTGTTGTTTTTTTACATAAAGTTCCAGCAAATTTCCTGCCCATACGGGTCCTGTTTTTGGGTCCAAGAACAGTAAGACCCACCAGCTATCTTAATGAGGACTGGTTATTTTTAAAAAAAAAAAAAAACCTCTTGCCTCTTTGGCCTCTTACCCTGAGGTTACAACTGAACAGCAATGCACAGGATAAACCTTCAGCAAGGTACCCTTGACTGATGACCCTTTCTTGCTCGCTGTGTCATTGTCATTCTCCTCCATTTCCAGGCTCAGGGGTGGCCTGCCCTTGCTGATGGACTCCTCGCGGTTGGCGAGGAGTGTTTGTGGCTAACTTTGGCTTTTCCTTGTCCTCCTTCCTCATTTCCATTTCAACCACGAGTTACCATCTGTCATCTGTGCACAGCAAGAGGCAAGACGTCACTGCTAAGCAATGTCCTCTGGTTCACACCATGGTACACTCCCACCCACAGCCACACGCAGAGCCCTATACTTCTCGTCACCAGAGCACACGTTCGAGAGCAGACACTTTGGTTTTTCCACTGTTGCGACTCAAAGCTTAGAAGAGTGGCTCAGGAAGACACACCTCAGTATGCTCCCAAACCAACTCAGAACTTGCTGCAACTGAGCGATTCTAGCATTGGCTTCCTGAGCACAGACACAGGATGTCACTGTGACCCTTGCTAGTGTCTTCTGTGTAAGGTGTGGCAGGACATCTCAGGCAGGTGTTCAGCCAGTGCTGACTGAATCCCCTCATGAAGCAACTAAAGACAAGCATGAAGATATGTAAAGTCCCCCAATATAGCATGGGTGACTCCCAGGCTACGTGTCACCAACATGCTCCCCAAAATATAAGTGACCACACCCCCCTGTCC